CCCCCCCCCCCCCCCCCCCCCGTCCCCCCCGTGTCCCCCGTGTCCCCCCGTGTCCCCCCGTGTTCCCCCGTGTCCCCCCGTGCCTGTGGGTGTGTGTGTGCCGTTAACCCCCCGGGTGCCGGTGCGCAGTGACGCCCCTGTCCCAGCAGATGACGTTTACTGGTCGCACTGGTCGGGCTGGAGCCCCTGCTCGAGCAGCACCTGCGGCACCCGGGGCACCCAGAGCCGCTCCCGGCGCTGCCGCAGCGCCCGCGCCGCGCCCCGCGAGCTGCGCTGCCGCGGCAAGGCCACCGAGCGCCGGGCCTGCAGCGCCGGGCCCTGCACAGGTAGGGAGCGTCAGCTCACCTGGGCTCACCTGGGACCGTTCTCGGTTCACCTGGGACCGGCTGGGACCAGCTGGGACCATCTCTGCTCACCTGAGCTCACCTGGGACCGTTCTCTGCTCACCTGTGCTCAGCTGTGCTCACCTGTGACCATTCTCGGTTCATCTGTCCTTACCTGAGCTCACCTGTGACCAGCTGTGACCATCTGGGACCAGCTGTGACCAGCTATGCTCACCTGAGCTCACCTGTGACCAGCTGTGACCAGCTGTGCTCACCTGAGCTCACCTGTGACCATTCTCTGTTCACCTGTGACCAGCTGTGACCAGCTGTGCTCACCTGTGCTCATTCTCTGTTCACCTGTGCCCATCTGTCCTCACTGTGCTCACCTGTGCTCACCTGTGCTCACCTGTGACCATTCTCCGCTCACCTGTGCTCACCTGTGTTCACCTGAGCTCACCTGTGCTCATTCTCTGCTCACCTGTGTTCACCTGTGCCCTGGGAGCTGCTGGGGAGGGGACACAGGGTGGCCGCAGTGCCACTGCCAGGGTGGCCCCAGGATGTCCCTGTGGTGTCCCCGTGGTGTCCTCTGTGATGGCCCCAGGGTGGCTGCGAGGTGTCCCCAGGGTGTGGTGGCCCCGTGGTGGCCCCGTGGTGGCCCTGGGTTCCCAGCAGGACTGTCCCCTCAGAGCCCCTCTGGTCGGAGTGGGGTCCGTGGGGTCCCCGGCGTGTCCCCAGGGTGTGGTGGCCCCGTGGTGGCCCCGTGGTGGCCCTGGGGACGCGGTTCCCAGCGGGACTGTCCCCTCAGAGCCCCTCTGGTCGGAGTGGGGTCCGTGGGGTCCGTGTTCCCGCAGCTGCGGCAGCGCCGGGACCCGCGAGCGGCGCCGGAGCTGCAAAACCGCCAAGAGCCCCCCGTGCCCGGGCCCTGCCACCGAGACACAGAAATGTCCCCGCTCACCGTGCCCAGGTAACCCCCAGGTGACCCCCAGGTGACCCCCAGGTGACCCCCCGTGTCCCCTCAGTGCCACCGAGACACAGAAATGTCCCTGCTCACTGTGCCCAGGTAACCCCCAGGTGACCCCCAGGTACCCCCAGGTACCCTCAGGTACCCCAGATGCCCCCCCCAGGTACCCCTCGATACCCCCAGGCACCCCCAGGTACCCCCAGATGCCCCCAAGTACCCCCCGGATGCCCCCCAGGTACCCCCAGGTACCCCCCAGATACCCCTCAGGTACCCCCAGGTACCCCCACCCATACCCGTGTCCCCTTCACCCCCCGGGGCTCTCCCCTCTCCCCCCTCCGCTCCCCCCCGAGCCCCGGGGGTCTCTCACCTGCTCCCCTCCCCACCACTCCCGGCCTCACCTGGGGCACCTCACCTGCCGCCAGGTGAGGAGGAGCAGGAGGAGGCGGGGGCGGCTTTGGGGGGGTCACCAGAGGGTCCCTCGGGGGGTCCCCACGCTCTGGCCGCCCCTCTCCCCCCAGAGAAGCCGCACATGGTGCTGCAGCCCGCGGGGCAGGTGCGGGAGGCCGGGCAGGACGTCACCTTCTGCTGCAGAGCCTCGGGCGCTCCTCCCCGCAACTACTCCTGGTGAGTAAAACACCCCAGCCGGGCCGGGCCGTGTCCCCCGAGCCTGTCACCACCTGTCGCCTGTCGCCTGTCGCCGCAGGTACCACAACGGGACGCTGCTGGAGGGGCCGGCGGAGCGCAGCAGCGGCCGCCTGGAGCTGCGGGGGCTGGCACCGGGGCAGGCGGGCACGTACCAGTGCAAAGCCAGCTCGGAGGCGGGAGCCATCCGCTCGGTGCCCGCGCAGCTCACCGTGCTGGGTGAGGAGAGAGCGGGGGGATCCTCCGTGTCCCGGGGATTATCCTTGGCCCGGGATCTGCCTTGGCCCGGGATCTGCCTTGGCCCGGGATTCTCCTTGTCCTGGGTTTCGCCTTGTCCTGGGATTCTCCTTATCCCGGGATTGTCCTTGTCCCGCGATTCGCCTTGTCCTGGGATTTTCCTTGTTCCGGGATTCTCCTTTTCCCGGGATTCGCCTTGGCCCGGGATCCGCCTTGTCCAGGGATTTTCCTTGTCCCGGGATCTGCCTTCTCCTGGCTGCTGCCTGGTGCTGGGTGCTGTTTATCCCCTGGATTCTTCCTGTCCTGGGTCCTGCTTTGCCCTGGGTTTTGCTTATCCTTGGATCCTATTTACCCCAGATCCCGTTTACCCCAGATCCCGTTTACCCCAGATCCCATTTACCCCAGATCCCGTTTACCCCAGATCCCACTTTTCCCCAGATCCCGCTTTTCCCCAGATCCCATTTACCCCAGATCCCCCTTCTTCCCAGATCCCGTTTCCCGCTGCCTCCCGCCTCTCCCCGATTCCCCCCGGGACCCCGAACCGCCCCCCTGCCCCCTGTAACGCCTCCCCCTCCGTGCCCCCAGCCCAGGGCCAGCCCAGCTGCCGGCCGGAGCCGGAGCCCAGCCTGGTGGAGCTGCCCCGCGAGTGCCCGCAGGACTCCGGCGGCTCCCGTTACTACGACGTGGGGCGCTGCCCGGCCTCGCCGTGCCCGGGCGACCCCTCCGAGCCCTCGGGCTGCGGGCAGAGCTCGGGGCTGTGCTGCGGGGTGCGCAGGATGGAGCTGCGGCAGGTGCCGTGCGCCGGCTCCCTGCTGCCCCTCAAGGTGGTGGCCGAGTGCGGCTGCGGGCCCTGCGCCCAGCCCCGGGTGTTGGTGCGGGGCCGGGTGACGGCGGCCGACACCGGGGAACCGCTGCGCTTCGGCCACATCTTCCTGGGGGCCACCAAAGTGGGCTTCACCGGCTACCGGGGCTCCTTCACCATCGAGGTGCCGCCCGACACGCAGCGCCTGGTGGCTCGCTTCGTGGACGGCCAGCAGCGCTTGGTGGACGCCGTCAAGGTGCTGCCCTTCGACCCGCGAGGAGGAGCGGTGTACCACGAGGTGAAGATGCTGCGCAGGAAGGAGCCGGTGGAGCTGGACGGCGGCCGGAGCAACTCCATCCCCCTGGGCGAGGCCGGCGGCCGGGAGCCCGTCGGGGAGCTGCTGCTGCCGGCCGGGGTTTTCCTGCGGCCGTCCGGAGAGGTTTTTAACGGCACGGTCCAAGCCAGCGTCACCTTCGTGGACCCGCGGGATGTGAGCACGGCCAGCGCCGCCTCCAGCGACCTGAGCTTCGCCAACGCCGAGGGGGAAATCGTCCCCCTGCGCACCTACGGGATGTTCGCCGTGGATTTCCGCGAGGGCGGCAGCGGCGCGGAGCTGCAGGCGGGGCCGGTGCAGGTGAGGATGGACGCGGGGCAGGTGTGGATGCCGGAGCACCTGAAGAAGATGAAGTTGTGGTCCTTGAACCCCGAGAGCGGCCTGTGGGAGGAGGAGGGAGTGCTGCGGCCGGCCGGCGGCCGGAGGAAGAGGGAGGAGAGGACCTTCCTGGTGGGCAACCTGGAGATCCGCGAGCGGCGCCTCTTCAACCTGGACGTGCCCGAGGATCGCCGCTGCTTCGTCAAGGTCAGGGCCTACAGCAACGAGAAGTTCAACCCCTACGAGCAGCTGGAAGGGGTGGTCATCAACCTCATCAACCTGGAGCCCCAGCCCGGCTTCCCCAGCAACCCGCGGGCCTGGGGCCGCTTCGACAGCGTGGTCACCGGCCCCAACGGCGCCTGCTTGCCCGCCTTCTGCGACGGCCGGCGCCCCGACGCCTACACGGCCCTGGTGACGGCCACGCTGGGCGGCGAGGAGCTGGAAGCCGTGGCCTCCAGCCCCAAGCTGAACCCCAACGCCGTGGGGGTGGCTCAGCCCTACCTGGGCAAGCTGGGCTACCGGCGCTCGGACCACGAGGACGCGGCGCTGAAGAAGACGGCGTTCCAGATCAACGTGGCCAAACCCGACCCCAACGACGCCGACGAGAGGAACGGGCCCGTCTACTCCTACCGGAGCCTCCGGGAGTGCGAGGAGGCGCCGGTCGGGGCCAACCACCTGCGCTTCTACCGCGTGGAGGTGGACAGGTACGAGTACAACGTGGTGCCCTTCAAGGAGAGCGACGTCACCTCCTGGACCGGCGATTACCTGGCGTGGTGGCCCAACCCGCAGGAGTTCCGGGCGTGCTTCATCAAGGTGCGGCTGGAGGGGCCGCAGGAGTACATGGTGAGGTCGCGGAACGTCGGGGGCAGCCACCCCCGCACGCGGGGACAGCTCTACGGGCTGCGGGACAGCCGGAGCGTGCGGGATCCGCTGCTGGGCGACGCCTCGGGAGCCTGCGTGGAGTTCAAGTGCGGCGGGATGCTCTTCGACCAGAGCCTGGCCGACAGGACCTTGGTGTCCATCGTGCCGCAGGGCAGCTGTCGCCGCACGGCCATCAACGGGCTCCTGCGGGACTACCTGAGCCGCCACCCGCCGCTGGCCGACAACAACCACACCGGGGCCTTCTCCATGCTGGCCCCGCTGGACCCGCTGGGCCACAACTACGGCATCTACACCGTGACGGACCAGAACCCGCGGCTGGCCAAGGAAATCGCCATCGGCCGCTGCTTCGCGGGCACCTCGGACGGCTTCTCCAGGGAGATGAGAGCGGCGGAGGGCACCGCCGTCACCTTCAGCTGCCAGGAGCGGCCGCCGGGCAGGGAGAGCTTCTTCCAGCGCCTGCTGAGCGCCCCGGCCGAGGCTCTGCAGGAGATCCGCAGGGAGATGGGGAGATCCGAGCTGCGCCGCGCCGCCCCCGAGGTGATGGACTTCGCCTCCGGAGCCCCCACGGGCACCCGCCGGAGCCCCGGCAGCCAGCGGAGAGCGGGCCGGCAGCGGGGACAGCCCTGAGTGGCCTCCGCGTCCCCTCCCCGCCTCTGCTTTTGTCGCCCCCCCTTTCCCCCTGTCGCTTTTGGCCGCGCTCATTTATCACGCCCCGAGAATTGGGGGGACGGCGGGGGGGCGGCGGGGATGTGGGGAGGGGGTCCCGCCGTCCCCCCCCGGTGCTGTCGCCGCCTCCCCTCGGTGCTCAGCGGTGCCGCGGAGGGGATGGAAATAAAAGGAATAAAAGAGGGAGAGGGAGGAAAGCGGGGAAGGGGCGGGGATGGAGGGGGGGGGTCCCTGCCCGGTGCTTTGTCCCGTGCCACCGGCGGAGCCCCGGTGAGCCCCCACCGGGAGCTGGGGGTTCTCGTTTCACCCCTAAATCCCCCCCAAAAAAGAGCCGGATTTTTGGGGCAGAAACCCCAAAAAAAACCCGGATTTTTTGGGGGGAGAAACCCCCAAAATAACGAGGATAAAACTCCCTCCTTGCGGTGCCACCCTCACCCGGGTGGGTGGGGGGATCACGGTGCCACCCCCGCGCCAGCTCGGGCCGGGATTTGGGGCGGATTTGTACATTTATTTATTATAAAATATATAATTCTCCTACATCCGCCTGCCTGATGGGCTTCTCCTCCATGGGGAGGGTCCCCCGCGTGTCCCCCGAGTGTCCCCAAAGCCTGTCCCCGTTCGGTAGCGCCATCCCGGCCTCCGCTGTTTGCTTTGGGCCGGGCTGGCAGCTCCCGGTGCCAGCTCCCGGTGCCAGCTCCCGGTGCCAGCGGGACGTGGCAGCCCAGGGCGTGGCGGGATCAAACCTCACCCAAACCCCCCCCCGGACACCCCAAAACCACCCCTGAACCCCCCCCAAAGGACTGGGCGGCTCCGTCCCGCCGCCACCTGCGTGTCCCCAAAGACGAGGTTTCATTTTTTGGGTGTCCCCAAAGCTGAAGTTTCATTTTTTGGGTGTCCCCAAAGCTGAAGTTTCATTTTTTGGGTGTCCCCAAAGCTGAAGTTTCATTTTTTGGGTGTCCCCAAAGCTGAAGTTTCATTTTTTGGGTGTCCCCAAAGCCGAAGTTTCATTTTTTGGGTGTCCCCAAAGCTGAAGTTTCATTTTTTGGGTGTCCCCAAAGCTGAAGTTTCATTTTTTGGGTGTCCCCAAAGCCGAAGTTTCATTTTTTGGGTGTCCCCTCCCGTCCCCGCCGCCTCCCCCCGCAGTCCCGGATGCCGTAATGGAACCGGCGGCGTTTTTGGGGCCAAACCCGGGACAACATTTCCCTTCTCCAAGCCGCCCTGGCCCCGGATCCGCATTTTTCCAGCCGTTTTTCCATCATTTTTTTGATTTTGCGCTGGATGCGGGATCAAAGAAGGTGCGGGGGGTGCGGGGGAGGACCAAAACCGCCGCCAAATCCCGGCCCCGTCCCGCCGGGACGCGATCCCACCGCGGGCGGGGAGCGGCGGGAGACAGGGAGGAGACACCTGGAATGCCGAAATTCCATGGAGAGGTGTCATTCCAACCCCTCCTTCCCGAAATCTGCGTGCTGCCTCTGCCTGGCTGATCCCTGGCCGGGATTCTCCCGCTCCCGAGTGTTGTTTTTCCCTGTCCCTGGGTGTTATTTTTCCTTGGATTCTCCCTGTCCCTGAGTGTTGTTTTTCCCTGCCCTGGGCGTTATTTTTTCCTTGGATTCTCCCGGTCCCTGGGTGTTGTTTTTCCCTGGATTCTCCCTGTCCCTGGGTGTTGTTTTCCCTGCCCTGGGCCTTATTTTTTCCTTGGATTCTCCCTGTCCTGTGTGTTGTTTTCCCTGGATTCTCCCTGTCCCGAGTGTTGTTTTCCCTGTCCTGGACGGTGTTTTTCCCTGGATTCTCCCTGGTTTTTCCCCTGATTTCTCCTTATCCTGGATTCTCCCTGTCCTGGGTGTTATTTTTCCCTGGATTCTCCCTGTCCTGGGTGTTATTTTTCCTTGGATTCTCCCTGTCCTGGGTGTTATTTTTCCTTGCATTCTCCCTGTCCTGGGTGTTATTTTTCCCTGGATTCTCCCTGTCCTGGGTGTTATTTTTCCCTGGATTCTCCCTGTCCTGGGTGTTGTTTTCCCTGGATTCTCCCTGTCCTGGGTATTATTTTTCCCTGGATTCTCCCTGTTCTGGGTGTTGTTTTCCCTGGATTCTCCGTATCCTGGGTGCTGTTTTTCCCTGGATTCTCCCCATCCTGGCTTTTCCCCGGATCCCGATTTTCCCCGGGGGTCAGGAATTGTCCCCAGCGAGCTCCAAGTCCCCTCTCTGGGAAAAACTCGGGACGCTCCCGCTGGCAGCGGCCGGGATCCGGGATCCTGTGGGAATGTAGGGATCCAGTGGGAATGTTGGGATCTGGGATCCTGTGGGAATGCCAGGATCCTGTGGGAATGTTGGGATCTGGGATCCAGTGGGAATGCCGGGATCCTGTGGGAATGCTGGGATCCAGTGGGAATGTTGGGATCCAGTGGGAATGTTGGGATCCGGGATCCTGTGGGAATGCTGGGATCCCATGGGAATGAGGGACCCAGTGGGAATGCCGGGATCCAGTGGGAATGCTGGGATCCTGAGGGATCCAGTGGGAATGTGGGAATGCGGGGATCCAGTGGGAATGCGGGGATCCAGTGGGAATGAGGGATCCTGTGGGAATGCCGGGATCCCATGGGAATGTGGGAACGCGGGGATCCAGTGGGAATGCAGGAATGCCGGGATCCGGGAATGCGGGAAT